GAAGCTACGATCTACAAAGAAAATGAGGAAGAGGACGATCGTGTCCGTTTTGTTCCTTATCTGCGTCGTGTTTCTTCTTCCAGATCAAGGTACGGTCTAACCCTTTTTCAATGGCTTCAACTCCATGCCTGTTGCTTGATCTGATTTTCGCGTATCTGTGGTATTCATTATAGGAAGAAAGCTGCACGCGAATGCAGAAGGTAGTTCGGAAGAGGTTTCAGATCCACCAAAGGTGGAAGAGAAACTCGGTGGTCACGGCGGTTTGTCGACGGATTCCGATGTTGTTCATAGGTTAGTTTTTTATACCTTTGGCTTCTAAGGCATAGAGAGTTTGGGTTAATTTGATTGATTTCGTTTTTTTGTTGGACACAGAGAGTCTGAATCCATGTCAAAGAGGTCGCTTCGCAATAACGGGGAGAAGTTTGAGTTCCAGGCTGAGGTTTCCCGGCTTATGGACATTATTATCAACTCTCTCTACAGTAACAAGGACATTTTCCTTAGAGAGTTGATCTCCAATGCTTCTGATGTAAGCCTCCTTTGCCTCTTATCTCCGTGCTTGTTTCGACCGCCTTCTTGTTAATTAGGGAAGTAATAGCAAGTGTCTGTGTTGGGAATTCCAGGCCCTTGACAAAATTAGGTTCCTTGCACTCACTGACAAAGACGTTTTGGGTGAAGGTGATACTGCTAAGCTTGAGATCCAGGTTAGCTGCGTCTTTCTTCATAACAAGTTGTTCTAAAGCTGTTTATTATATACTTAAATCGCGTATAGTGCAAAGCTTTCTTCCTTATAATAACATGTATGAAATGCAGATTAAGCTAGACAAAGCCAAGAAAATTCTTTCTATTCGGGACCGGGGAATTGGCATGACTAAGGAAGACCTAATCAAGAACCTTGGTACCATAGCGAAATCTGGAACATCAGGTACGTTGCTTATGTGGTGATAATACATTGTCCTGTATGATTAGGCTGGATCAATAAAATGGATATTCTTTACTTATCTCAGCTTTTGTTGAGAAAATGCAATCAAGCGGGGATCTGAACCTTATTGGACAATTTGGAGTTGGATTCTACTCTGCTTATCTTGTTGCTGACTACATTGAAGTCATTAGCAAGCACAATGATGACAACCAGTAAGTTGATTGCGGAGAAGGTTTCTGTTTAAAAATAGTTGTATGCATGTAAATCATTGTGAATGCATTTCTGATAAACTTCTTGACCATGCTCAGGTATGTATGGGAATCAAAGGCTGACGGTAAATTTGCTGTTTCTGAGGATACCTGGAATGAGCCACTTGGACGCGGAACCGAGATTAGATTACATCTTAGAGATGAAGCTAGTGAGTACCTAGAGGAAAGTAAACTTAAGGTGAGTAATATTTATATAAGGTTGGAAGTAAATCTCTCTTTTATTTCATTCAAGAGATCTACAAACCATATGTTATCGAAAGCAACAAATTAGAGTAACCCATGGTTTGTTGTGAAAACCTTTAATTCTCCCAAGGGCAACTGGTTGAACAGAATTATGAATATAGTGCACTGCGTGTATCTGTTTGTCGTATCGTTTTGCTTACGTATGATCACCGTTGTCTATACAGGATTTGGTGCAGAAATATTCTGAATTCATTAACTTCCCTATCCACCTCTGGGCTAGCAAGGAGGTTGAAACCGAGGTCCCAGTTGAGGAAGATGAATCAACAGAGGAGGATACTGGTGAGAAATAATGAAACACCGCATTAGAATTTTCTGCTGTATTGTGTCTTTATAACGTCAAGTCAGGCGGAGTTTTATTAATGGTATTGGTACCTCACTTCAGAAACCAGCACTACCGAGGAAGAAAAGGAAGAAGATGCCGAGGATGAAGACAGTGAGAAAAAGCCAAAAACCAAGAAGGTGAAAGAAACAATTCATGAATGGGAGCTTCTGAATGATATTAAGGCTATATGGCTGAGAAGTCCAAAGGAGGTGACGGAGGAAGAGTACACTAAATTCTACCACTCTCTTGCAAAGGTGAAAATCATGCGTGAAAAAGTACTTGTTATGCACTAGGTGTAAGATTCTCGTGTGGATTTTCCTGACCCCAGTTGCTATACAGGATTTTACCGATGAGAAGCCAATGGCTTGGAGTCATTTTAATGCTGAAGGCGATGTTGAATTCAAGGCGGTGTTGTATGTTCCTCCAAAAGCTCCTCATGATCTGTATGAGAGCTACTACAACAGCAACAAGGCAAACTTGAAGCTGTATGTCAGGAGGGTGTTCATCTCGGATGAATTTGATGACCTTCTACCTAAATACTTGAGTTTCTTGAAGGTAACTGATAGCTAGACAAAATAAGGTGTACTTTCAATACTAATTCACGGGGCAAGTTCCTCTAATGTGAGTTACTTCTGCAGGGTCTTGTTGACTCTGATACATTGCCTCTAAATGTATCACGAGAAATGCTTCAACAACACAGCAGCTTGAAGACAATAAAAAAGAAGCTTATCCGAAAAGCACTTGATATGATCCGCAAGCTGGCTGAAGAAGACCCTGATGAGGTCCATGACGATGACAAGAAAGGTATTCCATATAACAAGCATCTTGTACTGATCCAGGTTGTTTTACCATGGTAGTTTTATTTTTCTGAAACTTTGGTATAACGTTATTGAATTGTTGGCATACACAGATGTGGAAAAGTCTGGTGAGAATGATGAGAAGAAGGGTCAATACACAAAATTCTGGAATGAGTTTGGCAAGTCGATTAAACTTGGCATTATTGAGGATGCTTCTAACAGGAATCGCCTGGCAAAACTTCTTCGCTTTGAGACGTATGTGATTCGATTACACTTTTATACACTTGTGTCTGCTTATTAGCACCAACATGCTAAAGAGTTATACTTTTTTCTCCAGAACAAAGTCGGATGGGAAATTAACTTCCCTGGATCAGTACATTAAGAGAATGAAAAAGGGGCAAAAGGACGTATTTTACATTACAGGAAGCAGCAAGGAACAACTAGAGAAGTCTCCATTCCTGGAGAGACTCATCAAAAAGGGCTATGAGGTTTGCATCAAACATGAATAATTCTTCTTCACCTATTTTCAATTCGCATCACACCATCAATACTTGTGTTTTCAGGTTATCTTCTTCACGGACCCAGTTGATGAATACTTGATGCAATACCTGATGGATTACGAAGACAAAAAGTTTCAGAATGTGTCAAAGGAAGGACTGAAGGTTGGGAAAGATTCAAAAGATAAGGAGCTTAAAGAAGCATTCAAGGAGCTGTCCCAGTGGTGGAAAGGCATACTTGCTAGTGAGAACGTGGATGGTGTCAAAATCAGCAATCGTTTGGCCGACACTCCGTGTGTAGTAGTAACGTCCAAGTTTGGATGGAGTGCAAACATGGAGAGGATCATGCAATCCCAAACTCTCTCCGATGCTAATAAGCAAGCTTACATGCGTGGAAAGCGGGTCCTTGAGATCAACCCAAGACATCCTATCATCAAAGAACTCAAGGACAGAGTTGCGAGCGACCCAGAGGTAAACAATCATTATTTGTACATTCTGTCCATCTTTTATCAAATGAGTGAATGAAAAAAAAAAAACTAATTTTGCCAAATTCTCAGGATGAAAGCGTGAAAGAAACAGCGCAACTGATGTACCAGACGGCTTTAATCGAGAGTGGATTCGTACTCAATGACCCAAAAGACTTTGCAGCCCGTATTTACAACTCCGTCAAGAGCGGTCTCAAAATCAGCCCTGATGCAGTAGTTGATGAGGAAGTTGAGGCAGAGGAGACACAGACTAGTGATGCTACCGAGATGAAATCAGATGACTTGGCTGGTGGTCTAAACATTGAAGCTGAACCGGTTGAGCACAAGGAAGAGACAACCAAGGACGAGCTTTAGATTTCACTTATGA